TTGTAGTTATATGATATATGCTGAATGTTTAATTTAACTGACAATCTAGTTGAATAGGCAACATTTGGACATCTGTTAGGTTTTACACCTCCAGTCATTACGTTTAACTCATTAAAATTTAATGATATGTTGACAGCCTTGGAGAAAAGCTCGCTCCTTTTTCTCATAAATGAAATAAAGAGGAATAATCACTGGTGTCTCCCCCACTAACAAAGGGTAATGTTCCCAAACCAGTATTTCGGATCCATCTCTTCCATTGTACAGGCTGTATTCGAAAATCATATTCTAAAATTGATCATATTTCAAAACTCAATCAATAACTCTTTATGAAGCAAAACGACGTTGATGTCCAATCTTTGCTGCTCAGTGGATGCTTTTTTCGTTATACGATTTGTTGTAATGGATCATGTCTGTGCCCAAAAATACACATACACATGATCTGGTTCACATGTGGAGCCTCGGTATTAACCGGATTCTGAGGCTATTAAATATTTGTTAAATTTAATTGGGATGTGGCGAAAAGGAAGTGGATAACCTCTGGGTCACCAGGGTGACAAGAAGGACGCCATTAATTGAATCATCAGAAAGTAAGGGCAGATAACCATATGACGGTATGAATGGTTTGAACAACCTGACGAGAAACCTAATACATTGTTTTAGTCTTATTCTGGCTGATTAAGATCTATTGGACACTTGACAGTATGGCATGTCAATTCTCCCCATCTAAACCCGAAAAAGAAATTGCTTCTTCTGTATTGCATTTCGTTTTAGAGAAAAAGACTTTCGCCTCTAAATTGAAACAATTATTATCAATGGATTTAAAAGCAGATGGTATTTCGTATTAGATGAATCTAACATTCTAGTAGCGGTATAAGTAGTGTACGGCGAACCGCTGAGGCGTGAACGCTTTTGGTAATATGTTGTAATTGAGAAACACCACAGCCGATGGTTTTCTAATAGGAATCTATCGAGAAGGCATATCCATCCATTGTCTCGTTAAAGGCCTATGAGCTATAACAATGAAATGCCTAAGTTATTTATCCATCATAGTAAAAACGCATTTTTATTTATTTTACACAGCTATGTTACTCTTTTATTGGTATCACTTATGAACAACAAATGTATTATGCTGTATGTATGAACTGTCTGTAAGTCTCTTAATATTTGCGAATAATAGTTTCGGCGATTTGCCTCACGCGACTACATTTGCTTTAATTTTACGAATTGAACAATAGAATAATACACATCTTGATAATACAGTATCTGCATATACGTATGATACATGGATAACCAATAGGCTTTCACAGCAAATAAACAAAATAGTTACATATTCTGAAATATTCACTGTCGTGGAAATAAAGTACTTATTTATTTGCCGTAGATTTATTTCCTTAGCGTTTTGTTTTTTTCTAACTTTATTTTATTCATGTTGAATTTAAATCCACAACATTCCATTCAAATGAAAGTACTTTAATGAAACGTAATCCCCATTAGAGTGACAATAGGCATTATGATAATATGAGAAAGCTCCAATTTAAACAGAAATTATACTAACGATATGGCCATGAATCTACAATAAATTGCACAACAGAAATGATGTAAGACTGACAGACATTTTATTATTCTTAAAGGTTATTTAATATTCAAAATGACTTCGTTATCAGTAGAGTCCATCACAGTTTTCGGCATCGTGAAGCTAGTTTATCGTTTTTGTATAACATCACAATAGAGAATTCGTCATAAAAGTCACCTGGTTACAGCACATAGGTAAATTATGAAATTATTAGCATACATGTGACATCACACGACACATATAAGACCAGAAACACCTGAGATATATGTGCCATACTATTGTGTAATGAAATTTAGATTAAAACCAAATTCACAAGACACTCAAAGTGCATGATAGTTGTAATACAGCTGATATCAAAACTTGTTGAGACACAGACAACTTTATAAATGAAACCTTCGCAAAATGGAAAAAGCATTTTTATTTTTTCGATCGGAATATATAGGTTTATTTTTAAGCAGGATACACTAACATGGAAATGTTTACATAATGACTTAATTGAATGTATTAATGACTCATGAAAGTCAATGTGAAATCGATGAGATATTCATAGTTACTTAAGTAAATAACAAGTAGGAAATGTTCCGGGATTCAACGATTATTCTCAGATAACATAGACATTTGGCGTATATATTATTTTTAATTTGACTTTTAAGTATTATAAACAAAGTAATGTAAACGTCATATGCTTTGCTTACTTCTGATTTATACAGGTGTGTAAGTTATCTGCATCATATTGTTAATTAATAATTTACCACTATCACATTCAGAATATCTCTATAAGGTGTTATTTTTGTATGGAAAAACGAAACAGGCAGAAACAAAAAAACATTTATTTAAAAAAAAAAAAAAAAAAAGTTCATATATCTTTTATCCATTGTAACTTCTTCAATGAATTGAATCGATTTCTTACACATATTCCTGATTTTTGTTGAAAAATAAATATGACGAAGATTCTTTAAAAAATTAGTCCAGGATATTTGACTTTAAACAGAAAAGTATTCGATGAAGCGGTACCTAAAAGCTGCTGTGTATTTCATCTATATTTAACAACACGTTGTATTTTCGAAAGAATTTGCAATGGAGACGGATTAATGAAACCTTTATTAATTAACGAGACAGGAAATGACATCTAAAATTCAGTTTGTTCCTAGAAAGCTAGTTTCTCGGATAAGCGAGGTTAAATGTTTTATTTCCTTTTTGTCTTTCAATTCTTAAATCATCAAATTAACTTAATTGTCATATGTGTTGATTTAAAATATATGTTAACTATGTCCAAACGTCGTGTACGTCATTCCCTTGAGAGTGATAAATTACGTTAATCTGAGTCTCAGAATTTCATTAATGCGTCCAAGAACAATAAAATATTCGACCAGAGTTTTCTACCTTTCGTGATCTATATGATTTACAGGATGTGAAAGGATAAAGCTAAATGTGATTTTTTTTACTGGTTTTGCTTCGAATTGATCGGAGCGAAAATATGTACCGTCCAACACATATTGACGCATGATGAAGTATTTATCAAAGCAGCTTTTCACCACCGCCAAGATTTCCACATGGGAAGATTTTACAGTAAATCAAGGCATTGACCATATTCATTTTAGGAAAAGCTTTTGAGATTCCTGCTTTCTCCTCTGTTATTTTTGGAATCCATGTTGACTTCCCGATAGTGTTGACGTATCTTCCATCCCTGTAACTTCCTTTCCGTACTGCCTTTGTTCCTGTGTGTTACCGCTGTGACATGATTCGACTATATATAGTGTCATCTTCAGCACTATTCGTAACTACAGTTATGTGTAATATTGCGTCACAACTCTGAATGTGTTAACTCTGTATACTTTGAATTTCACATTTTTGCAATATCGGAAATATATATAATTTTTTTTATCAATGATGTTACTTATTTGTTTTCATACTTCATAATTCAACCATTGAGAATATTTCAGTAATTATACATAATACAATTTATTATATATAACAAATACATATATGATAAAGAGAGTTGTATTTATCATGTATCTGCTCAACTCGCTTACTATATCATAAACATAAGATCTCTACACACCAACAATTGTATGAGATAACTCGGTTATAAAAGTGCTGACGTACGACGACTTAAATTCGACGTGTTTTACTCACACCTTGTCCAGACAAGTTACGATTTCACTATTTACATGTTGAACATCAATACAAATGTCGAGCCATTAAGGTAACGGTAGGTTTAAAGTTTAACATGATTACAACCACTGAATCCATTTACGATGAATGTTAAATCTAACTGTATTGAACGGAAAACATTCCGAAAGGCGTCAGACACATGCGTTGTCCCTATTGTTACACTCCGGTGTCAGTTGTCGGCCGCCATGCTTCCTTTCTCTCATAGTTACCTATTCTTGTTTCTAATGTATGACAAACGTTATGGCATCATTGAAGTATTGGAGGTAGTTTTTCCAACCACTCCCTATCCATTTTACTTGTAGCAATAAAACCGTCACTGTACGCCCAAGCAACAATCAATGCAATACACTCGTATACAAGTTGTCTTCGCTTAGACAACAAACACTATCTGGTGTTACACCTTCGTTCTCTATTTGTTTTGATGCTATTGTTGTTGTCATTGTTGTTGTTTTAGTTATTGTCTTTGCTGCTGTTGTTGCTGTTGGTGTTTTTGTTGTTTGTTCAGCGTTGCAGCAGTTAATATTGATACTGTTGGGTTTGTATTACATCTACACATGTATACCATGGATCCCGGGTTTTCATTTGAATGTGAGGAAAACTATTCAGAATGGACATTTTCCCCCCTGATAATGATGGATTGTACTAAACACTTAAAAATTTAGTCTACTCTTTTAATGGATGCTGATTTGCAATAAATGAACCTTGAGAAGGCAAAAACTCATTTTAGTTCGAACAGATAAATATCCTAACATAAAAAGTGAGTAGGTTTTCTTATGCGATGAAGTTTCTATAAATATATACAATAATTATAATATCGACGTTAATTTGACAGCTTAACATCAATGTGAGTAAAACTAGATGTACAATGTTCATCTGAATTAGTCGAGGACAAATGTATATTTCAATAATATGTTGCGGTTGGTATCCACATACTTGACAAACGGTGTCGATATTTTTTCTGATTCCTTCAGAATTGACATTTGCAATAGACGTACATTGTACTTTTTTTTTAGATAACATTTTAAAATCTTGTGTAATATTGACTTGTAGGTTTAACTATTCTTCATCCCGGCGTCTTTATCTCATAGTTTGGCTACATCTGTTCGCCATTATCAGATGTATTTGGAACCATCTGCAGTCTGCATCGACCATTTTTTTTTATCAAAATTTCTTTTCAATTAAACTTATCTTGTTCTATATGATAGACCCGTGGAGAAAGATAGAAACAACAAGAAACAGTCATACAGATAAAATCATTTAATTTACATTTGTAAATAACATATTTTAATGGTGAATTTACAATTTCAAATTTCATAATATACAGATAATAACATCTGGATATGGTTGTATAACGACTGTTGAGTTTAACCAGACAGGATAATGTTATAAATACCTATTTAAACATATACATATTTTCTACATCAGTCAATGTGATATTGTATAACATATTGGCCAAGACCCATTTGTTTGAAATCAAACTGTGTATTTTTTAATATTATTTCTATAAGCCTTTTTTGTCAGAAAACCATTTCCCATCCCCCATTTTTAGTATTGAATTATTGTTACATAATTTTCATGAAAAAACCTGTTTGTTAAAATAATCTTACTTATTAAATATTTTCCTGTGCGTATACACTTAAGTTTTTTGGAACATTTCTACAAAGAATTTTGCTGGACTTCAACTTCCCCCTATGGGCAGTACTTAAGGAAGGTAGAGGTTACTGAAACCAGGCTTGTTTGAGTATTAACCATGAATCCTTTTATTTTATCTTTTGTAACGTTCCTTTAATCAAGCATACACTTTTTTTTAAATATCTAATGACCTGATTATTCATCTTCCATCATGGTTCGTGTTAAGCTAACAATTCTGTCAACAACCATAACCAGATGTTATATTAAACCTTACATGCGACGCATGGTACAGTAAACGTAGATGATGGACATATGGGTGACAATTGCTGACAACGACGATATGAATGACTTTAAGGATTAGAGGGCAGTAGATGAGATAAAGAGAATACAGACGAAAACGATGATGATGGATGACTTTACGATGAAAATCGGATGAGGATGAAATAGGACAGACTTTTTACGGTCTTTTCTTTATCTCGTACCGTTGTTAAATAAGCATGATTATCGTTTGTCGAAGCTTTATTTAATTATGTAGCCGGTGTGTATTTTGAAGGCTTGTAAATAATTGTTTAACTACATTTTAACGACATTCTGTTCCTGTGGGAAATGGTGGCAATGACATGTTTATTTCAGTTATGCTGGCTCCAAATAGTTTTCAAGGCTACATCAATTAGTTTCGTATTTCTGTTTGAAACGGTTTTTTTATTAAAGAAACTAGCCTACATAATTAAAACCGTTATGTTATGTAGGTGAAAATAGTTAAAATATAATTTGATTTATTTTATTTTGAAGTAATGCATTGAGTGTACTTCTGATGAAAATGGATGTTACTTTCATGATCATGTTTCCAACTATTGTATTTCAACTTTTAAAACTCATTCACATCTAATTGAGTGTGGGTATGGGTATATTTTGCAATGAAAATGGAACTTTATAATCATATTGTTATACAAATCAATTTATGTTTCATAGTTTTAACAACGTCATGGAATTCACATTCGACAGTCAGTAAGCGACAACGGTATATATTGCAGAGGTATATATTGCCATTTCTTAATTCAAACTCAAATATATGGCCTGTACATATATAACAATCTACAAAAGCTAAAGAGAAAGGGGAACAGTATGTCGGTGTAAGTAAAACAAAATGTCCAATAAAATAATATGTCCATGAAGAATAAAAGAATTATAAACGGTGTTGTCTGAGGTAAAATTGTAGAAAGACAAATTAACACTGGTGTCGGCCTTACACTTGGATAACTGAAATGAATTCAAAGCACTGTATCGAAAGTGCAATGTGTTTATATTCTGCACTCTTGGTTAATCAATGTGCAACCTTATTGAGTAACAATAGTTCTTATAGACGTAGGTGTTATTTTACCCTTCTTGTGAATGAACTTTGACCACAAAATCAGCTTCAGATAAAATTATTATGGTACTTTTATATATTTAACTGTGCTGAAAGAGAATGCCAATGGCCCAAGGTTTAATAAAAGCAGAACATAAAACTGGTATGTTTTCAAAATATTTCAGTTCGTTCAAGCAACATTTTATACATTTATCTGTATAATTGACAATTAAGTTGTGGATCTTTTTTTTTTGAAAGAACTGTATATATACGAATATTGTTTACGAAAATATAGTACTCAAAGAATGCTTACTTATCGTTACTAATATTATTACACTACTGTTATCATCTACAAAGCACTGAGGTAGAACAGATGTCTATGAATAAATGATTGATATTTGACATAGACGCTTATTTTAAACATACAATTGTACAAAATATTTTTAAATCTTAAATGGTTCAATTTATATTGTTAACCTATTTTTTTTAGATTGAATAACCAGACGCCATTTTGCAAACCATTCTCGTTTGAATCAGATTTTGACAAAGTAAATATATCATATCAATAAAATGATATACAGTTTGACCTGGGAGTTTCAAACTTTGCGAGACCGTCGGGAATATAGCAAGTGTTTCGGTTGAACGTTCTGATTTGTAATGATATAAATATATGACTGTTAATATAATATGTATTTTTTTGCGAAATGTATTATTGTTTGCAGTTCCTTTCTCTTTTAGAAACAAGCCATACAGAAAATAATAGAAAATATCTGGCATAATATGATACTGTTTGTTTATGAATTTTGACTGAAAATTATACTGATTGGATTTATTTTCAAATTATTCGGTAGTGGGTGTATAGTATGTCAGACAACTGTGCAAACAAAATCTAAGTAAACCGTATGGGATTATGCTAATACAAATCATGCAAGCAATTAGCATATTTTCATGATATGAATAAATGCTTTTTAAAATTAATAAAATTTCGATTTTGAAATATTGGGATTTCTCACTGATTCCGCTTATCTTTTCTGTTAAGACTTCAACCCTACCTTGCCTTTACCTCGTGACAGATATACAATAGATAATATTTAAATGCATTCACCTATCCATATTCATTCTTCCTCAACTTTACTGATTCAGTTTCGTATGAGATGAACTATATATAAAACCAATATGTTTTTCAAACAGAAAACTCAAAACCATTTTTGTCACTAAATATAATGTATGGATTACATATATAGTTGTTAATTGAACGTCGTTTTAGATTCAGCAAAGACAGACATAATAATTGCATATTCCAAAGCAGATAATTATTATAGAAAATGAGAGAGTAGAAACACGCCAGAAATGATATACATTTCCAAGTTAGACATATTTATAATAAATATCGTCAATTTAGACATTTTACTTTGGTGCTTGTTTCGTTAAGAAGCTTTAATTTAATATATACGTCCGAACCTAGTATTAATAAATGACAGCATATTATTAGTTTGGTTCAATGTGATGAATCTGAACACATAACTTCTGTTCTCAAGGAAAGCTATAACGTGTATTAAACGAGGGACTAACGATCATGTACACTTTAGGCTACATATCTTCTTTGAACATACAAGCTGTACTGTTTCATAAATAGTAGTAGCACGATTATGCAATAATAGTCAATAACACCCAATAAATCAAGGTCACAGAAATGCTTAGATATCCTCCAAGCGGGCTCAATGAGACCGACGTCTACTATCAACTAGCAACGATGAAGGTGTTAAATGTATATGCAAAATTGCAAAGCATAAGACGCCGTTAAGACATATGACGCATTTGTCTACGTCACATTCTGAACTATAAAGGCGGGTTTACCCTTCGTGTTATCTCTTACAGAGACATGATATAGGTTGTCTTGATATCTTGCACGTCCAACATATTGATAACATATCAAACATGTAAGCGACTCGGACTAAATAAGGGACGAACATTATCACATTAAACACATCTTTTCATCCTAGCTATGACGTCAGTTCGTCCGGTTCTGCATCTGAATTATTGTTATTCTCCCTGTCCGATAAACACGTGTTTTCCTTCTCGGAATTGTCCTGATCACTGTCTATACAACTCTTTGATAATTTGGCGGGAGAAGGTTCTGATTCACTGTCCATGTCACTTTCTCGCCGTGAATTATCCATTTCTTCGTCATCTGTGTCAAGCTTTGCATGGACGACGTCATTCTTAAGCTCTTCGAGATCACGTTTAAGTTTTGCACGCCTGTTCTGGAACCATGTTATAACTTGAGCATTTGTCAAACCAAGCGTCTGAGCGATTTCGTCTCTATCGGCTGGTGTTAAATACTTCTGGTATAAAAATCGCTTTTCGAGTTCATATATCTGTTGGTTTGTAAACGCCGTTCTGGATTTCCTTCTTTTCTTTGGAGGCTGGTGTTTCCCGAACAGTGCAGCTTGCTCTCGTCGTTTAGCATCTGAAATTGCAAATCAAATAAATGTGTTACACATAATTGGTAAATAATATTGCATGCATATTTGCGTGTAGCAATGTCATGTATCATCTTAATAGCATCAATTAATTTCAAATAAATGACTGAATAGAATGACACCAATGAATTCCAAAAATCATCATTAATCATGAAATAACACATAAATATTCCTAACTTAAAACAATACTACTGCAGACGAGAGCACTTTAATGGTTCGACTTAAAAAACAAGAAATATCATCCTGATTGTCAACCGTACGATTGTCGCATCAGCAATTTAAACATAAAAATGACATATATGAATGTAATTTTAATTAGATGATGAATATTAATGTACGATATATCAAGCGTAAACGTAGATTTCTGTTGCCTGCACCGTTTGATAGTTAATGTTTTATGAAAATAAAAACATACAATGAGATATATTGATCCATACATTCCTGCTTCATCTGTCGATAAAAGTACACGTGAATCCTAGTACTCTAAACACATATTGACATACAATACTATGTTATCGGGTCCCAAACTCAGTCATCCTAATATTGAACTATTGTCTTTGGAGAGATGGTTTCTTTGTTTGATAACATGTAATTACCAATAGTATTCTCTGAACCATATTTTAAGCACAAAAGTAATTGAAGCAATTAAAAAAATAAAAATTAAAGTAATTAATAAATTAATTAGGTATAATCGCTGGCTTACCATATGAACATTTCCATCAAATTGATAACTTAATGATATTTTTGAAGACAGTTTATATGAAATATAAAATTAAAAGAAAACTAAAAATCCAAAATTAATCATTTACTGCAATAAAGGAGAAACCGCAAGTGAAAAACAGGTCATGATTCTAAGACATTTATGGAAATAAATTCCATTTTAAGTTTTTAAAATTTAACATGTGTGATACCTCACACATTATACTTATGACATGGGCTAGAGTTCTCTCTGTATCTATACTTTGTAACATTCAGAAACTCATAAGTTATATTAAGACAGGAAGTCATGCATATATAACACGTTCGTCACTAATTAGCTATCCAAATAAAACAATCACGAAAGTTTTCCAGATTTCATTTTTTTTTAGTTTGGAGCTCTTTTTTAAATGAGGTCAATGTTGGAGCATTGTAACATACGTCTTAAGAAAGGTAATGCATGTCCCTAACTCAGTATACTGTTATATTTTATAACAAATTTGTATGCTTTTAATTCTATTTTCTGTTTTGAAATAACCGTAATTTCCTTGTTTTGATATTTTCACTTTATAACAAAGCTCAACCTCTATTTGTTTGTTTTCTGTTCTGTCGTTTCTTTCCAAAATGGTAAAAGTCTAATTGCATCAGAGTAATATAAGATCATTTCTGTCAGTTACCATGGCAAAGAGAATGATTGTGTGTTGGCTCAAATAACATCGATGTGTCTACAAAAGCTGACTGGCGCTATAGGATTACGTTAGAAAGACTAATGTAGACAATGGACGATATGTATATTGGGTTTAGTTTAGCAAGAGGTATTAAATACCCCATAGATGTCGTCTTGTGCTCGTGTTTTCAAGCAAAAACGATATATTTACACTGACAGTGGTAAGGCTGGCTTACAGCGAAACACTGAAGACGTATACATGTTTTTGGCGCATTAGTTACCGTCCATAGCGACCAACCCAATTATAGAAACATATCATTTGTATTGAAAACGGTTAATAGCGAATTACTGTTGCTTCAAATTTGTGGTTTAACATTGCAATGTCCCAATTGGCGGCATCTTCGGGGATTTTTTAGTGTTTTAATATTATCAAAATTAGCTTGTTACGGTCCTGACGACAGGTACCAGTCAAGCTGCCAAAGAAAATTAGATATTTGAATTCGTAAATGAAAGAGTACAAAGGGCTGATAGTCATTTCAACAACCCATTTGTTCTTCGAATAAATCAAGCGCCCGAGATGGTTTAATATGCACATAAAATACGATTTATTGAATATCGGCAATCAGGGAATGTGATCCGTAGTGCAGAGTGCTTTATGGCTACCGTTGCTAACACAAGAGAGGTATGAGGGAACATTGTTTTCAATGTTTAATGTCTTTAACTGTAATAGGAGGTGAAGAGGTCCTGTGTTTGTGTGAGGTCCGCGTTTGTTGTCGCTGGTCTGTCAGGGTTTACCGGCCCCTAGTGTATCTTTACCAGCAGGCTAGGGAAGACGTGTAGCCGTATACAGTAAACCATATGTTTCACACTTCTGACTTACAGACTCTCATTGCAACATATTCTCTTTCGTCATATTCATATAAAATGTGCATTGCTTGATCTGATAATTAGCTAACAAAGTTAAACACATAAGCAGTACAACTAATTTGATCAGTTAATCCTTTTCCCCAATGAACGATGATAAATCAACTACCCAAATCGATATTTATATGTACATGTATGTTTGTATGAATAAATAGAAATATGATAAAGAAATACAATGATATTGTTGGTTTTATTAAAATACTCGCGTCACGTTCAAATAACAAAGAATACGGATATAAATAACTCCTTAGTTCACAGATCCTAGGAAATATTATTTAATTAAACAATAACTTTTAAAAAAATGTGTGGAGTTTTGAATACACACGTGTAAATCAACGTTTAAGTGTGTTTCATGTGTAAACGGCATCTTTGACTATAGAAAAAGTAGGGAGGCTTTAGGTGACCTTACCTAGGGTTAAATATGATGGTAAAATCTAACCATCCCCATGATAAATATGTTGGATGTTAATTCTGTCATTTGTTTGTTTCATTTTCCTTCATCTGACGTTTTTATGAAGAAAAAGAGTTATGTGCGAACATTTCCTTAAAATATTCTAAGGTCGTGTTCGTCAACTTGAGCAGTTAACTCACAACATGTACTTTTCTGGTTTAAATCAATTTTGAGAATTAATGTACAGAAAATGCAAAGTGTGTCTTTGTGTATGCTGACAGAAGGTAGATTTAGGAAAAATTAATGAATACTATTTAACATAAATCCTTTTTATTTAGTTTAACAACTACAACGTGGAAATAAGAAAATATATTACTGTGTGGATAGAGACATGACAAACGCGTTATGAACTTGTCATCTGTGCCCGCTTCTCATGAGCTAACAGAAACAAAATGGCGAGGGCTGGACATGTAGTGAGTTCAAGGCAGTACGATTAAATTATGCTCCCGTAGCTGTCATTAAAGGTGGTTTATATCTCGTCAACCACGTACGATGCATTAGCATTAAAACATCTCTACGAAGCATTTTCCCAACCGCAGTTTCCGAACGGCTTCGACTAACAGCAAGGTATCCGTTGGTTTTGTGCATCAACTAGATTACACATTGTACTTGGTGGTTTTTTTTTCACTTTCTGAAACCATATCCATTGATAAATGCCAACAAGGTTTGCTCTCTGTCAAACATCGAAACACATTTTTGACTTTCACGCTTTAATTAAACAACATCAATGTTGATTATTTTGTCCTTAACCTTTACAATGTTAGTGATATCCATACGCCGATTTAGTGTATGAGACCAAAACAAAGCATTTTAAATCATCCTACTGAAAGTATGCAATGTTGGTAATAAATAGCAGTTTTAATAATAACGAGAAAATATGCAGCTATATCATTGATAACCTAATTAGTTTTTCCTACACAATACGTTATGCATCCAATACACAATAATTTTAATATAACTGAGAAAATATTTGTGCGATCTGTCAATTTCTCTGCTTTGAAAAACGTGTATTTTTTTAAGGAGCGGTAAGATTGTAAGAAAGCAAATGTGAGAAAGTATTGTAATGTTTTATCATTTTCCCTTGTAGTTTGTCTTCTCAAACGTTTACAAAACAGTTATACAAATTTGGTAAATAGTAACTATATATTTGCGTTCGATGCAGAATAAGAACTACGGTTTTCTAATTTTCCCTTTTCCTATTTTGCATTTGGAATCATCATGTTTTTAGTTGAGTCGGTACTTTATAAAACAATAAATTAAAACAATATATATCTGAGGAATGACAGGATAGTGTGTTGTTTTGTTTTTGCGACTTCATGTCCTTAGTTTCGAAATAACATGCTTTAATTTGGAAGGTCCATTTTTATTTGGAAACAGCATATCATATTTTGGAAACATCCTGTCCTTATTTTAACAAAATGATGTCCATATTTTTCTAGTCTCAATTAGATGTTTTGAAGCATCGTGTCCTTAACAGCTGAACTCCAGGTAAAAAGACACAGGTGTTTATAACAGTTGATGAACCCGTCTATTTATTAGTTGACCCTTTGACCTTTATGATAAATGGGAGGCCTAACTGACAGGTATGGTCAGGTATATGTGAAACTGATCTAGAGTTTAGGAATACAATTCTAGTTTGTTGTTTGTCCTCAGTCACGTTAACGAGATCTACCTTTCGAAATGTGACAATTTATTTATGCATTAAGACTCTCAACTTAACTATTCATATCTTGTAAAACGCCACACCTATCAGGGAACGAGATATTGCATACCATTAAAATTAATTTAACCTAAAACAGATTTATTTCAACCTCCTCTAACATTTTTATTGCCAGAGCTAACTCCTAACATTGTTACATGACATTCATCGCGATCCTAAATGTTATATAAGTCTTAGAAGGTCAAATTAAAAAGGTAACCGAACCTCATTCACATTAACACTGCCAGGAGTATATTTCACTTAAAGTAATAATCCAATATGCCGATTTCTTTTCAGATTTCAATATCTTTTTATAAATTTGACACAAAATAAATTTATGCAGCTAACATCGAATATTGTCATATTTAAAACGTACACCCTTATTCAAACATTTTTTGCATCGTCACTATGATCGGATTTGCTTTCCATTCGCTGTTGAGACTGTGCTGTATTATTATTGCAGATGTACATGAAACAAATGCCATTGTCACAAGCCAACGCAATGGGCTACAAGAAAGTCGACAAAGAACTGGTATGGTTGGGGAACATG